GTATAAAAGAGACGCGCCTGAAGTGCCGCGATTTATAAGGCAACAAGTAGAGAGGGAGGGCGACTGACCGGCAAGTGGAGACAGGAGGGTATCAGGTGTCTCAGACTCAGAGAATCTGTCTCCCCAGAGCATTCCAGGGGCTGCAGAGGGTCCTTGGCTATGTCTAAAAGTAAACACTACGCTAAGACCTGGTTTCTTGAGACAAAGATGCTCATGACTGCTTTCCCCAGACCGGTCACAAAGTGGCCGTGTCAGGAGTCTGATCAAAAGCAGTGGCATTATTCTGTCTTCTCTGCAAGGCCGAGGATGGGGCCCTGCCATCTGGGAGCTGAGGGCCCAGGCTCAGTCACCTAGGAAAGAAGAGCCTGCGGCCCTGGCCTCTGGCCCCAGGCTCTCCTGTGGGCCTGCTGGCTCCGTGCGGCTTGGCCTCTCTTCTGCTGGACCACCTGTGTCCCGGTCTGGAGAGGCAGAGGGTGAAAGAGAAACAGGATTTTATCTGTGTCTAGACTGGCTGACAGCCCTCCAGGCCTGGGTCACCTGCAGTGTCCTTACTCCATAAAGAAACTTCATACCCCAGAGTCATTTAAAAGATTGCTATTGTTTCCTTGAGTCGTTTTGCAAATACATGGCTCGAGGCTAGGGTTTCAACTTCATTATTTCCAGCCTGGCCAGGGAACCTAAACAAGCTTCACGTTTGAACTGCATTTCTGTGCTGGCCCAGGGGGATCCAGGAAAGCGGGCGTCTGGCGACGCTCCTCAGACACCCATCTATCTAAAGCCTGCCTTGTCTTTGTTCTGATAAGCCATTCTCTTTTTAGATAGGGCGTATTTATCAGCGTGCTGGCCGGGGCATTTCCTGCGGGGGAGACTGGGGCTGGCGCAGGGGGGCGGGGCGCTGCCCCTGGAGCCGGGCGGAGGGCAAGCCGGGGGCAGGCCGGGCAAGCTGCACGACAAGGCTTAGATCACTGCGGGAGGCCACCAGGCCCTGCTGCGGACTGCTTACCAGCACTTGTTTGGGCCTGGAGCACACAGCAGGTGCGGGACGCGCGTCCGGTAACCTGGATGGAACCCAGCGAGTACGGGCCCTGCGGGGGGGCCCCGGGGCCGCGAAGCAGCAGAAGTCCGCCCCAAGGGCTCAGTCCAGTCCGGCAGACACAGGGAAGTCTGTGTGTGAGCATCACTCCCTGGATCCAACTCTGCCCACGCCCTTCCCGCTGCACACACCCGGGGGCGGGGCCGGGGTGGGCCCCGGGGGTCAGCGCCAAGGGTGGGCGGAGCAGATGGGGGGCGGGGGCGAGCGGGATGGGGGGAGGGGCGGGGGGCAGGGGTCTCCCACAGCTCTGCCTGACCCCGAGCCCGCTGTGGGCAGACCCCTTTGCGTGGAGCACCACGGAAAGAGCCCTTGAAAAACCCAGACGAAGAGCGCCAGAGGTGCAGCCCAAGAATGACCTTGGCCCCCCGGCAAGGGACCTGGCACCCGGTGCCCCGACCTGCCCAAAACAGTGCCTCCGCCCGCTGGTGACTTGTCATTCCTGAGTGGTCACTGCCCCAGCCACTGCTTCCCGTGGAAGCCTGGTGTCCCCCCTCAGTGAATGCCATCACCACTCTCCCCTCCCTCGGTCCTGGCAGAAACTCCAGCGTTAACTCGGAACTTTCTCGTCCTTTGTTCTATTCCTGTCAGTCAGAACGTGTTCGAATTAGATTCCTTCTCTCCTTTCCCCGAGGACTTAGTTCAGAGCCTCATCCATCCTTCTGCAGACCACTGCTGACTCCAGGCCCGTCTCTTCTCCAAAAGGCACCTCAGCACCGCGTTCTGTCACTCTGGGTCACAGCCGAGGCCTCTGCCATGGGGTCAGGCCCTCAGCGGCACCAGCCCCCCCCCCCGGGGGGCTCTGGAGGGGCCCCCCGGCCGGCCAGCAGGTCTCTGTGCGCCGGGAGCGCTCTCCTGCAGCTCGGCCACCCCCCACTTACACCGTCGCCCAGCGCCCCTGGGACCCCCAGACCCCCACTTACACGGTAACGCCCAGCGCCCCTGGGACCCTCAGACCCCCACTTACACGCTTACAGGCTGGCTCGGCGGCTGTCCTACAGACAGCTAGCGCCACTGGGACCCTCAGAATTTCCTGCAGACCTCCTGGACCCCACTCTGCCCCTGGGTCGGGCGGGGGGGCCGGTGTCTGGGGTCTTGCCTCTGTTAGAGCTCTCGTTGAGTGTAGACACGGGCCACACCTCACTTGCCATGAGACCGGGGGGCTTCTTTATTCACTCAACAACGTTATAGCACTTGCGTGAGCCAGGCACTCCTCCAGGCACTGGGATCCAGCAGTGAACAGACAAAAACCCCTCCTCTTGGAGCCTACAGCCTAGTAGAGGGAGCAACAGACAATGAATAAAATGAAGCCCTTGCGTGGTGCTGAGTCTGGGGGTCGGGGCAGGGCTGAGGTTTAAAGAACCTGGTCAGGGAGGAAAGCGCCAGAACTGTCTAATTACGTTTTCTCTTTCTGCGGTGTTTTTGTGAACTTTGGATCAGGAATACAAGGAATTTAATCCAGGTCCCGAGGCACTTTGTAAATATCTTTCCAAACTTCAACTAGATCAGCTGTGCTCATCACTGCAGAGGGCTGGAAAAACACTCGTGCAGTCCAGAGAGCTGTTTTCGCTCCCGGGATCAGGCTCGTCGCGTGGGAGGCCAGGACACGGCCCCACATGTCCCACTGATGTCCGCACTTCTGTGAGGTCGGCCTGCCGCATTGTTGTACGGGTCAGCTGCGTTTATATAGAGGGGCGGTAATGGGAATTCCTCATCCTGAGCAAAACCTTTGATAGTGAGAAGTGCTGGTTTGTGATAGGAATTCTGTGTTTCTGGGAGCTGTAGCCAGCCCTCCACCGACTGTAGACGAGATGGACGGAGTTTCAGGTTCAGGTGACACTACATTGCCAGAGGGTAGGAAATGCAGCGGGTCAGAGCTGATAGGTTCCACGGTGACCTCACATGGACTCGCCTGGAACATTCCAAACCTGCGCGGCTTCCGTACATTCAGAAAGCAAGAATCGTGCAGTAATTCCTATTCATTTTTGGATGTTGAAAAGTCTGCAGGGTGGACGGACCTGTTTTCGCCAGCAAAGGCGTTGACCCTGGCTTGTCCAGTGTGGGTGGTCCGGTCATGGCCGGCCCTGCTCTCCCAGTTATTGGGGTCTGTTTGGGGTTCTGCCGTGAGCTGTGCACTGCACAGCTGGGTGAACACTGTAGGTGCTTAGTAAACATTTGACCAGATTTGCGGAAAGACGGTTGGCAGTGGCCCAGAGGGGTTCCTGTTCATCAGAAGTCACCTCGTAGTGGCCCTAGTTAGTCACAAGTGTCCTATACTCAGGTGCAGGCTCCCTTCGTCACAGACTTGACGGTCACCAGCATGCTTTTTCTCCGTGTTAGAGCACAAAAAACAGCAGTTAGAAACAAGAACAGCAACAGATACTTGCGTGGTCCCACCCAGGATGCTGGGAGTCTCCTGCAGGTGGGCTACGCCAAGTGCATCGATGGAAACGATTTGATGTTGCTACAATGGACGGTCTTGTCTATGATGTGGGTGCAGTGGGGTGCCACTTACTGGAGGTGACACACTGAGGTATGGGCAGGAACCAATGGAAGAGGGGTTACTAGCTCTCGGAGAGTCTTGCCTCTTGAGTATGGGAGTTAGTGATCCATGAGCATGTGCATAGTTACTTCTTTCACATTGATAATATATATCACGGACAGAAATATGAACATATATATTCATGAAAACATACATGCATGCATATCAGTTAGGACCCTGACAGTTACAAAGAGCAAGAAAATGAAAGCTATCTTTAAAAATGAAGGGAATTAGTTGGCCTCAGTAATTGAAAACTGCCTTCAGGTGTAGTTTGATCAAGGGTACAGCTCAATTACTGTCCTCCACATGGCGGTTTTCCCTCTGCCCTGTCTCCACATGTAGCTGCGCCGAGCCTCCGGTCCATGCGGGAGGAGCTTCCAAGTCATTTCCTTTGAAAGCAAAGCAACGTTCCCCCAAACTGAATCTCCCTAAACTCCGTATTCTCTTTCATTTTTATCTCTACGGGACTTAGAAGGACAAGCAGTCTCCTTCTACAGCTGCTACTCAGAGCTGCAGGATTGTAGGAAAGGCTGAGTTTTATGCTTTATGTCTAATTACGACAGATGGTAAGTACCTCGAGTCATATACTGGGTATATGCCACCGGCAATTGTCCTCCAACTTTCTTTAACCTCGAGGTGAGGCTTGCGGTGTGGCTTCGCATGCCGTGCAGTTCAGTCACCTTTCCTTTGGGCCCTCGTTCCTGCAGAGAATGCCGGGGGTGGGGGGAGCCGCCATGGGGCAGGGCTCCGGCAGGGGAGCCAGGTGGGCAGGGGCAGGGCCGTCCTGGGCCAGCAGAGGACGGAGGTCAGCAGAACACGGCCTGCTGCCGCTCAGAGGACACACTGGGTCCCCAGGCCACATTCCCAGCATACAGAGGGCCTCAGACCCCGACCCCAGACAGCTCCTCAACAGTGCGACAGGCATGGTCTGAGGGACACAGTGGCTCTTCACCCGATGAGCAAAGCTGGGAGGCCCACGTTCCAGGAAGGGGTGTGGTGCAGGTCACCGCGCAGCCCCCACGTGGGGCAGGGAGTACTGGGGCCACCGAGGGCCAGAGAAGGCAGTGAGATGGGGAGTCTATCCCTGCTCCCACGCAGGCTCTCTCCGGGGACCTGCTCCCGGCCGGGAATGCACTTAATGACTGAGCACTTGTTACAGTCGAGTGAATTGGCTCTGCCCTGTGCCTTTTCCTCCCTCGTTCTTGCTGAGAGAGAACAGGAGGGCAGGCGGTGACTCGGGCCTTGTACCACGGGCTCAGCGCCTCCCAGGCACCCCGTGTCCCCTGGGGGGGTGGGAGTGCCCTGGACGGACGCCTGCTTTGACGCGGGTGGCTCGGGAAGGGCTCACTGCTTTGCGTGTGGGGATAAGACAGCCTGAGACCTCCTGGAGGCAAAATTGTCACTTGCAGTTTCCTTAAATCTGAGGTGTGCAAAGACAGTGCGTTTGGTGGGGGGAGCCCGGCCCCAGCGCGCTGCCTGGAGCCGGAGACCCACCCCATCGTCCTCTCGCCTCCCGTTGGGCACCAGGGCTGGATGGGAGCTCTTCCCAGCACCCGCCGTTGTCTGTGCATTGGGATGGCAGTTTCTAGGGTGACCACGAGGAGGCAGACGGCAGTTAGCTTTCACTCAGGTGAGTGTGGCTTGTTGAATATTAAAGCGAGGACCTCTTAATCCCTCCCCACTAAGCCTGATTGCGGGGCTGCTATTAATTCTGTGTTAGTTTGTATGCAAAAGGATGGGTCATCAATGTTCCATCCGCAAATAGACTGTGTTGTAAAGCTCACCTCTGCCTCCGCGATAACGATTTTCCCTGTCTGATGGGGTCCGTGTTCCTTTATCAGTGATTTTCTGTAGTCAACAATCTCTTTAGGAGGATCTGTCAACCTCTTAAGAATGTGATACATCTTCCCCTTATTTTAATTTCCAGACTGGTCACTGATTTAAAAAAAAAAATTTTTTTTTAAAGATTTTATTTATTTGAGAGAGAGAGAGAGCAGGGGGAGGGGCAGAGGGAGAGAATCCCAAGCAGGATCCATGTGGAGCCCGACACGGGGCTCGATCCCACAATCCCGGGATCATGACCTCAGCCGAAACCAAAAGTTTGTCGCTCAACCAGCTGAGCCACCAAGGTGCCCCCAGACTGGCCACTGATTTTTAAGCTGAGTTCAGGACGGTCCTGCTTCTGTGTTCCCTGTGAGGCTGCCGTGGGTCACTATGCCGTTCATCATAAGTGTAATGCATAGAACAGTGACATAGTATTTGGAATATGTCATTGCATTTACGTTGGACCATAGCTGACATTCAGGCAGTTTACCACTTTTGCATTAAAATCATGAAATACGATTTTAACCAGCAAGCTGCTGGTTCTCGGGCCTTGGGCCTCAGACTAAAGGAGCCCACATGAAAATATGGGCCAAAAGAATTGAAAAATTGTTCTGCTTTCCTTCTGGTTCTTCTGTTCAACATCTTGGTCCACTGTGATGGTTAATCGTGTATGTCAACTTGGCTGGGCCACTGTGCCCAGATATGTGGTCAGACATTATTCTGAATGTTTCTGTGAGGGTGTTTTTAGAGGAGATTAACTTTTAAATGGGTAGACTTTGAGTAATACAGTTGTCCTCCCTACTGTGGGTGGGCCTCGTCCAATCAGTTGAAGGCCTGAATAGAACAAAAGACTGACCTCCCCAGAGCAAGAAGGAATTCTCCAGCAGATTTCAGACTTGAACTGCAGGTTTCTGACTTGACAGTCTGCATAATCATGTAAACAAATCCTTACACTCACTCATTCACTTAATCAGTCTCCCTTTCTCACACACACATCCTACCGGCTCTGTTTCTCTGGAGAACTCTGATATACGCACTTTGAGTGAAGGTAGCATTAGCACATGCAAGGCTCCCAGCCAGCTGGGCTCCTGGGGTCTCCCTGAACTGGCTGAGTTTCTGCTGTTCTGCTTTTCAGGGGCAAATGAAGGGTTAACTCTGATTCCATGCAGGGCTCCCTACAAGGTCTCCACTGCCAAGAACGGATGAGCATGCACAGAGACAGATCGTGATGGGTAATTGGAGGTGTCGACTCGGCTGAGCTAAGGGCTGGTAAACGTCGTTGCTGGGTGTGTCTGTGAGGGTGTTTGTGGAAGCCATGAGCGTTTGACTCATCGTTACCCAGTAGAAACCCACCCTCACAGCCGTGGGGGCACCATCCCATCCGCGGGGGCCTGAATGGAACGGAAAGGCAAAGGAAGGGCAAATCACTCTCTGTTTTTGAGCTGACATGTCTCTCTTTTCCTGCCCTCAGACATAAGAGGAAGGTTCTCGGGCCTTGGACCTCAGACTGAAGGACCCCACGGGCTTTCCTTGTTCTCCAGCCTGCAGATGGCAGAGGCCTCATGAGCCAAGTCCTGGAATAAAGCTCTCCTCTATGTCTGTATGGATCCTGTAAGTTCCCGCTTTCTCTGCAGAACCCTAACACAGACGGTACCACCAATATCAACGGAGTTGGTGGAAATAGTGAAATGTGGAGCTGGGAGGCCCCTGGGTGGTCAGTCAGTGGAGCGGCCAACTCTTGATTTCTGCTCAGGTCATGATCTCAGGGTTCTGAGATCGAGCCTTGCGTCCAGCTCCCTGCTCAGCGTGGAGTCTGCATGAGATTCTCTCCCTCTGCCTCTGCCTCTCCCCGTGCTCGCATGCTCACGCACTCTCTCTAAAATAAATAAATAAAACCTTAAAAATAAAATGTGGAGCCAAAAATGTGACCAGTGAACTACCCCCACCCCGTGCCATCTCTTAGTCTCTCAGAGACACTTGGCCACATGATACCATATGTCTTCTTCTTTCTAAAGAGTTTTGAGTTTACAGGAAACTTGCGAGAATGGTACAAAATGCGTCTCCCGTCACCCACACACAGTCAGTGTGTTTTCTACAACGAAGGACATTCTCTTACGAGCTCACAGTGCCTCCATCTGGATGAGGAAATTGGCCTGACCCTCCACTGCCACCCAGTCCGTAGACTCGCTCCATCTCCACCAACTGTTCCCACATCACCTGTAGAGAAAAGCATCTACCCGGGACCCCTCCTTGCATTTAGTGGCCATGCCCCCTCGTGGCCTTCCATCCAGAATGTTCCTCGGGACTTGTGTGACCTTCCTGTCCTCGGCACATGGGCAGACTATTTGGTGGGCTTCCTCTGAGGTTTCCTCAGGGCATGTTCTTTGTCGAGCCTGCTGGAGAAGTGGGCCTGGGTCTCCCACATCCTGCCAGGGGCGCCTGATTTCCACGCATCCCGGCCAGCTGCTGACAGCGTCTTCACCATTGCATGTCTCCTTTCTTCCTCGTTAGTGACTGTTCTGTGTGTGGACGGACTCTGCAGTGACATAAATATCCCGTTCCTCACGGCACTTTCAATCTGTTAATTTAGTAACTTAAGTCAGTGTGGACCCGGGCTTCCTGTTTTATGCTGTGAGTTATAACCCATTACTTTCATTATTTGGTGCTCAAATAGCCCCCGGTTTGGCCCCTGGGAGCCCTTCCGGCTGGCCTCTGTGTCTGCTCACGTGGCCCTGTCGCTGGTTGAGCATTTCCTTACCCTCTGGCACAGAAAAACGCCTCTCCACGCTTAACATCTACATGTGTTCCCATATTGGTCCATATATATTGCAAATGCTGGGTTCACGCAGATGCTTTCGGTTCCACTCGAACGCTGCAAAGATCAGTGCTCTGCTCGCTTCCACGTCTGTGACTTTCTCCAGCGTCGGCACAGCTGACTGTTGATCCGTCCATCTCCTGCCCTGCTGTGCCCCACGCGTGCGCTCCAACACCCACGCTCTTGTCCCCCGTCCCTACGGGGCCTCGTCACGCTGGGGCCCCAACGTCCCAGAGGGACCAGGGGAGGAAGGGAGTCTTACCCCTTGTGAAGCTAGTCATGGCGTTTGCGTGTTTGTGATCTACGAAGTCTATGCCCATGCACAAGTTCTTCCGGAACTTGTAAAACCGAGGCCCTGAGACCAGACAGAATGGGGTATGCTTAGTAATGAAGCGTTCTGACAGCTAACCCTCAAAACACCGTATCCCAATTATCCGCTGTGCGAACCCACCCCGAGGGCTGGCGAGGGTCTCGGCTGGGGGTGAAGGTGGGGGATGGCCTGGATTCTCCTCACCTTGCAGGGCTCCGGAGGCCGGGTCTCTAAGGTGGAGTCAGGGGGCACTTCTGATTCCCTTTATGCTGGATTTTTGTGATGCTGCAATAACACTCTTCTAAAATAATTTGTTTTGCCACCACATCTGCCTTCTGAGCTGGCTGCAGCCGGGAGAACCGGGGCCCTCGCCCGGGCCGTGCCTGCCTCTGGCAGAGGGGCACCTGTGTGGGGAGCGCGGGAGGCGCTGAGCGGAGCTCACGGAGGGCTTGTCGCCTGGAGGAAGCCGGGGGGAGGGGGGCACCACTTGGGGAAGGTTGAAGAGGCAGCTGATGCTGCTTCCTGAAGCGCCAGTGTGAGAGAAATGTCCCCGAGCACGGGGAGAGAGGTGGCGCCGCTCGGAGGCTGCCCTCCATGCGGAGCCACGCAGGCCACCAGCTCTGCGGCTGGCCCAGGACCAGAGGCCCGCTCGGCATTCCGGCTTCCCCGAGCATCTCCCTGGGCCGTCCCTTCTCAGAGCTCGCATGGCAGATGCAATGCAGCAGGCAGTCTTGGTTTTAAAAACGCCCCCTTTCCCCTCTCCCGTTTATCACACAAATCCCCATGAGCAGGAGACCAAGGAAGCAGAATTTCCGGGGGTGAGAAATTCCGTAAGCTCTGGCGCTTACACACCACCTTCTGTTGGGTTCACCCCCACGGAGGGCAGGGGAGACAGTCACCCCGTGAGTGATGAGGGGCTCACCGCCAGGGGCCCCGGCGGCTCCACGCCGGGCACAGGCTCAGCCCCAGGCCGTGGCTGCAGCCAGCACACGGCACTGGCGGCCAGGCCCGACCGCTGCTTGGTGGCTCAGGGACAGACGCACAGCGGGCACCCGTGACTGCCCCGTCACCCCTCGGGGTCCCAGGACGCGCTCGGTCCCTCTTCTGGGAGTCTGCCAAGGGCTCTGCCTTGATGGCTGTTGATGGATAGGTCAGATGAAGCACACGCATCCCAAACAGGCGGGCCTGTGTCTGAACCTCGGTGTCCACACTAACCAGTACTGGTGTTACTTACTGGGACATGGGAGAGGGACCCAGGCGCTACGTAGAAATGAAGAATCCGGAGGTGATTGCTCATTAGCGCATGAGAGCAATACTTCCTCAGTGTCCCAGGGTCAGGAGAGCCACTGGGGGGCACAGGTCCAGCGCAGGGTTGGGGAGCAGAGAACAAAGATCCAGGAGAGAGGAGCGTATGGGAAATTGGGAGATGAAAGCCCTTTTTGAATCTTTTGTGTTATGAAGAATCATTTTTCTTTTTTTTTTTTTTTTTAAGATTTTATGTATTTATTTGACAGAGAGAGAGAGCGAGAGAGGGAACACAAGCAGGGGGAGTGGGAGAGGGAGAAGCAGGCTTCCCGCTGAGCAGGGAGCCCAACGTGGGGCTCTATCCCAGGACCCCGGGATCATGACCTGAGCCGAAGGCAGATGCCTAATCAACTGAGCCACCCAGGCGCCCCAAGAAGAATCATTTTTCAACTTAAGAAAGATGTCCACCTGGCTCCCCAGGTTGCCTGGGAGAAATGGTGCCTGTAGCAGATGGAGGACACAGGGCAGACAGATGGACTTGTAGAGCGCCCTTGAGTAGGACTCATGAGCCGGACGAGGAAGAGCGCTCAGGCAGATTTCTGTCCAGGCCATCAGAGGCAGAGGACGTGGTCACGCATCAGTAGGTGGCATGAACCAGCTCCTGCCCATGTTGGTGGCCCGGATACCACCGCTGCCTGTCCTCTGCCCTGTCCACGCTGTGAGGGGTGCAGGCCCCCAGCTTCTGGAAGCAGGCACTTCGGAGACAGTGACTTCACTTCCTTCTGGTCGGAGACTCGAGGGGGCCGTGGCCGAGGCTCCCTCGCACCCGGGGCTGGCTGTGTTTGTAGGGGTCATGCTTCCCAGGGCCTCCGCCCCGGCCCCTCTTGTCAACCTGCTGCCGACAGGCACCTTACATCCTCCTCCCACTGCCTCCTTGGCCTTTTAATCCCATTGCCGTCATGTTTTATTCACACTTGTCTATGAAGTCTGCAATTTTTATTATTAGTGTGTTACTAGCGCTCATGGTGTGTTCGCGGTGGGGCGGAGACCCTCCGTCGTATCCCTGGTCTCACCCCATTACGGGGGCCTGAGCGCCCGGCAGACACTGGGACAGATGGGCCGCGGCATCAGAGAAGCAAGGGACCAGCCCCGGCCACGCGGACCGTGAGTGCCCGGCCAGCAGTCCCAGCTCAGGAACGTCCGAGTCCGAAACCAGCTGCCAAGTGTCCCTTCTCGATGACAGTTTTCATCTCTCCACATACATAACCACCCAGGACCGTTTATGACCAACGTCCTGTGGATGACCCGGCCCCTGGATGTGTTTGGAAATCGTGCGCATACACTGTCAGGAGTGAGTCTGCCGAGAAGCATCCCCCGTGCCCTGGACACACTACCCGCCCCCGGTAGTGGGGGCTGTCTCATCCCGTCAGCCTGCCCTAGCAAACCCACCGCAGCCTGGGTGCCGTCTGAACAAGACCTTGACTCCTGATGGTTCCGGAAGTGGGAGGTCCCAGATCACCCGCAGAGTCAGGGTCCGGGAGGCCGTTCCTGGTTCACAGAGCAGCCTCCTCGCTGTGTCCTCACATGGCACAAGGGTCGGGGTGTCTGGGGTCTCTTTTATAAGGGCACTCATCCCGTTCACGAAGGCTTCACCCCATGACTGATCGCCTCCCGAAGGCCGCCTCCCGACACCATCACACTGGAGATGAAGACCTAAACATGACAAATGTGGGGGACACAAACACCGAGGCTCTCCCAGGAGCCAAAGCCAGCGGAGGCCTCTGACTCCAGATCTAGTCATCTCGGGGAACCTCGTTGGTTCTTGTGCATCGGGGAGTCTCAGGCGCCTCCTGGAGGTGTGTCTGGAGCGAGCCGGCGGCGGAACGAGCGTCTCACCCGAGGATGCTGTCGGCTGCATCTACTCTTCACCTGCTCACAGGGAAAGCGGGAGACCTCAGTTTTCGGGTCTTCACCCAAAGGCTTGAGCTGCCTTTCACATGCCCCCTTCGTGCAGAGGGACCATCTAGACATCTGTGCAGAAGAGGAAAAGACACTGAACTGTGGATTGCTGTCAATGATTATCAACCATAGCATCATTAAAACTGGGCTTAGTTGAGTCAGTATCAAGGTGTAATTATTTCTGGAGGAATAATTCAGTGAAAAGGGGAAATCCAGTTTAAAAGCAGTAGTTTCTATAAACTACAGGCTCAAGAAATGTGCCTACAATTAATTCACTCATGCCGATGACCGTGGAGTATGATTTGTGAAAGAACATGTAATTCAGACTGTTCGCTATCTCAGAGAGGGCCTGTAAGTTACCCGCCTTATTTTACCCCCTTATTTTTTCCGAGCCAAGGACGTTTTTGTCCTGATATGTCTGGGAATGCTTAGT